TTGTGTTATCCTTCTATGTGCAGTATTAAAGACGGTTAAGAGTACAGTAACAACACAGATTTGAAACACTAGCTTATAGTATTGCCAATTTTCTGCCAAACTCTCACCCATCATCATTACATACTACTGCCAGGAAGATATTTTGTATAGAAAGAGTATTTTCAATCAGTTTTGGTAACTAACATTTTCCAAAGCTAGCATTAGCCCTAAGAACTATGGAGCCATAAGGATGAAATAGTCGCTGGAATTCACTATATAAATAGCAATAAAACTAGCTTAAAATGCAACATTCAGCAATTGGAGATCAATGAGAATTTACTTAACCCTAAATTCGGTACTTAGAGAGCAAGAATAGTCTCCTTACTAGATAACACTGATTTAGTCCCAGCATTCATTATATACAAATAAGAAATGCAATTGTGTAGAGAGCATACTTTGAATTCAATAAATAATTCGTTTTATTGTTATTAAACACTTAATTTAAATTGAACTTAAATATCTTATAATAGGGTTCTAAATTAAGCAGCTGCTGAAAAAAGTCTGAGATACATTACAGTTACTCTTTAGTACCTACAGTTATGGCAGTGTTGCCATATTTGATTTCTATCTTACAAATCCGGCAAACCGCAAATTGCGTATACAACACACCTACCCTCCCACAGTGTGGAGAATCATGCCAAAATACGGGCACACAGTATCTCGCCTTGTTATTGCCATTACAGTCGCTGCAGTTCCATGGCGAAGCGAAACAGCTGTGACGGCGCGGCATTGCGGCAATGACTGACGACAACCACATCGCTTAGCGGATTATCGAGACATAACTGCGTCTGTTGGTGCACCAACAAGCCACCGCGTCGCAACCAACGTTGATTCGGTGTCTGTTTTTGATTCGCGCGCTGATTATGTCCGCGCTCGCCGACTTCCTGATCGACGCATGGCCGCAGCACAACACGAAAATGCGTCGAACGCGTTGAGTTTCTCAGCTTCGTCGCGCGCATTGGCACATCGGCGACTACGTGGAGACACGTACCGGAACTCGCTTGCAATTGAGAATTGTGTCGGTGCAGATACCAGTGAGTAACGTCATTTTGGAAGCAGCTAGTCATACGTAGCTGACTGGTGGCATAATTGGCGATATGCAGGCAAAGCTCGCCGGAGCTTAGTGCGCCAAATGCGATGAACTCATCATTGGGCAGTCTGAAAGTAGTGGAAAACAAGAAATGTGTTTACAAATCCATACGCACTGCTATAAGCACACACACAGAAATGTACATTGGAGTGAGCTTAGAAAGAAATTTGTAAAGAATTTTTTTTTTTTTTGAAAAAGGGAAACAGTATGCTAGTCATCTGGGAGGGAAATACATGCTGACTGAAAGCGTTTGGCTTACGTACTTGAGTTGCGGGAAAACATTCTGCAAATACCAAGAGAATGGCTGGCAATTGAGAGCGCGCCTCAACTGATGGGTTTGCTCTGTGTCGTTGCTGCTGAGGGGTATTTGCTTGGCCGCCGGTTTGGAGGCGTAGAAGAAATATTTGTAGGCGTCCAACCAGGATTCGGCAATGATTTTTGAATTTCTGTATGAAAAAAAGAGAAATAATTGAAAGAACAAACTTTATTTGGTATATTCTCCCAATATTTTGTACAGAGTATAATAACTTTCTTAATCTAACGGTTGGTTGTAACATCTAAAACTAATCCAGATCGATATAATTTTATATAGATAAAAATATCAGAATGACGAGAGGATAAATGTTTTATAAATTTTGTACATAAATGTTTTATTAATTTGGTATAAAGCATTATCATTCTTAATTTTACAATGTGAAAATAGGCAAAGTCGAACTATAACCATGCCCACTTTCCATTTAACACAATTTTTAATTCCATCCGATTGTTTTAGTTTACTGTATATAAATCAAGCGCGAATGAAGACATCG